CCCAGGAGGAGAGGGCGCGGCAGCAGGGGCCCCCCGGCTGGGCGAGCTGGGGCGAGACAGAGGCAGCAGGACAGAGAGAAGGGGCCCCCAGCCATTCCTCGTGACGCCCTGGAGATTCAGCGGGACAATACGGGCAAGGAAGAGACAAGAAGGCGAGAAGAAGTCATTGGGGGGAAGCTGCTGAACCCTCGACAGCAAATGCAGAAAGAAGGCCTGGTAGTGTCCCCCACTGCGGTAAGCACGGAACGCACTGTGAGTACTCAAGAAAACAACAGAAAGAAATACATAACAAATACTAACTACTATATAATTCCGTTTAACTACCGGTGTTTCGGGAGAGTGGCCTACACCAACGCCAACAAGGCACAGCTGTCCTCGACTGGGGCTGGACGTATTCAACGCGGCAACGCCGTTGCACAGGAGGAGAATATCTATTGAACTTGATAGCTTGCGAAATCTTAAAGTAATGCATTAATGAATGACATATTAAGGGTGAAGTCANTCTTCTCTGATCTGCCCAGAAATCACTAATCATGGCCTAGACGTTTCAAGACAGGCAGGCACGACGGAAATAGAGTGTTTATTGAAAAATAGGAAGACAATAAAAGAAACGCGAGAATCTAGTGTAGGACTTTGCGACTGAAATAGAGCCAGCAGCTACAGTGGCAAAACAATGACACCGCACAGCTCCGTCCACATACCCTCTCGATCTTCTCTCCATCGGAGTTTAATCCGCATACTTCCCCGTTCAGCTCAGCTGGAGCAGGTTCGATGACTGATGTGCAGAGAGTAGGCAACTAAGCTCCCCCAAAGGGCATCGAGCGTATCGTCGTGCTCTTGCTGCTCCGAGAAAAGAGAAGGGAGCAAGCAATAACTGTGGTCGTTCTTATAGTTTGCATCTTTTTGACCTGTGGTCGTTGCGGACAGACTCCGCGACGTGACATTGTCGCAGGCCTTGTTTCCAAGTAGGCTTTCGTTGGATTTTGCTGCCTTCAAGCGTCATTGTCTGGTGCTTATAAACCACAAACAGACAGGCAGAAAAGCTACTTCAGGGGAGCAACTAGAGGCGACGGAGATGGAGAAATCAAACGGAAATGCAGAAATTGTTGGGCCCNTTGGAAAATCGAGGGAAGTGCAAGCCACTTGGTAGTGGCTTAGTTCATCTTACAGGCATCCACTCGGTGCGGTGTATGTCCTTATCATACTCGCACCCACAGACTAACTAGAATATATTTCAATTGTTGACTATTTCGTCTGTGTCCGAGCTGAGCTGCGCCTGAGCTACCTCTGTCTCCCCAGAATTTCATGCTTGAACGCATACTTGATGCTCTTCAGATCCACAACTCTATAGTGTCTAAACTACGTACTCAGAAAGGCTATGGAAATTCCCTTCAGCGAGTGGTTTCCCCCTGTTCAGTCAGGAAGGCTCAGGCCTTCACTGCCGAGATCCATCCGTTTGACCGAAGCATGCCACTTCAGCAAGCAGTACTTTGCGCTTCTCTCCGTCTTCTAAGTTAATTCAACGGGTCAGAAGCACGGGCTATGCACAACTGCAACAAGGGAGGAACTGCGCGTTTGGAAGCCACGCAACACGCCCTCCCGTACAGGCACTCTGTGCGCCCATGTGCGGCGTATGGATCATGCTTCCTAATAGCTCTTCTGAGCTATATGGCTTCCCGACAGAAAGAAGTTATCAAAATACACCCCATCTGCTTCTTGTTTCATGGAGTTCTTCAACGCCATGTGCAATTAGCTGTATCGATGCCGTGGAGGCTTAGCCGCCCGCGAACGTCCGCGGCGCTTCCGGTGGGAAAGATTGGTAATTTCCCCCCAGAAAAAGTCGGTAACCCCGCTCAAAAGTAATTCTTCAATACTTCATTTCGGTTCAGTCGAGATTCTTGTACCAGTTGCCTCGGAAGTTCCCCTACAAGTAGCCCCTGTTTGTCCTCGGCGGCGACTCGCCCGCAGCCTGCAGAGCTTTATCCAAGTTGTCGGCTGCGTGTTCTGTTTCCGTTTTCCCAAGTCTTTCGTTTCTTGTTTGAGATTACCATTGACATTCGTTCCTTCGTGATTGTCGATAAAGGCGTAATTTGCCTTTGCTCTCTCGTTTTACGTATTACGGTTGCAGGTGGTTTCTGCGGCGTGCAACCCACTGGGCTAGTAGGAGGCCACCACTGGATTGAAACCTGCTGCCTGCTTCTGAGCCTTGTACTCCAAAGAAACAACACATTACACAGAAAGTGAGGCCTCTGGTTGTCTTTTACTAGGGGAAGCATTGACTTTTCGCGCCCACACGGCCGAGCCACAGGGCGGACCTCACTGGCCCGCCTCGTCCATCACATCCTTCCACGGGGCGTCACAGCGAGCACTGGGTTGAGACCGCCGCGCCACCTTCTTATTCACTTTTGTTCTTTGGAAGGAGATGTTACAACATTCGGCGTCTGCCGTCTACCTGCCTCGGCGCCCGCGGGACTCATCCTTGGGGCCGCGCACCTTCTCCTCTACAAGCATCGGCGCCGACCCGACCTGCAAGGCAGCCCATGGGGTGCCTCTACAGACTTCTTTGACGTCATCTACTTCAACGCGACTTGGTAAGCTTGTTTTTGTGCTGGATGGTGCTACTGCCCTCTGCACACCACTCTAGCCTTGCCCTCCTGTACTGCCTCCCCACTGCCCCACGGCACATGTCGCAGCACACCCCACCTCCGTAAATTGTGACATCGCGCTGGGCCCACCGCAGCAATTTGACGATCGGGTAGTCCGTGTTGAGGCGGCCGCCCTTCAGGGCTATGCTGACCTATCGAGGCAGGCACGCCCGGCCGCACGCACCGCCGCTGTAGGTAATTAAGGGCGTGATCAGCCGCAACTGTGCAGCCTGTGTTGTGTTTTCTTCTTAGGCCTATCGGATGAGGAGACGTGCAGTAGGAGTGACTCGAGTTCCTGCCGCAACGCCCTCATGCACCGCGCCAGCAGCTTCTTGGCTAGCCGCCGGGGCTCTTCGGAGGCGTTCGAGGACGCCTTGGAGTCTCTCGACCCTCCTCATCCCTCTGTAGATCTGAATAACGACTACTCCTCCTACGCATTTGTTCTCAAGGGCCCCCCGTCAGATGCCCCTGCAGGCCAGGCTGGGTCGCCTCCCCGCACCTCCCACCAGCGAGTCCATGCGGAACTTCCAAGGACAAAAGCAGCAACGACAAACGGAGATACACGAAAGACACTTGTATGCTCCAACACCACAAGCATGCCCAGCAGCAGCAGCAGGAGCAATGGGAGCAACGGCGAGGAGGGAGCAAAAAGGGGAGCTCGCTCTGCCGTCCCTGAACGTCCCCTCATCAGCCCCCGCCCTACACCGCATGCTGACGTAGACGGCGGCGAACCGCAGCAGCATAAAGAGGGGAAGGGGAGGGAGGAACAACAGGAGCGGTCCACAGCAGCCGAGGCAGCAGCAGAATCTGTGCGATCGAGCCGGTGCCGCCAGGAAGGCCGCCGGGGTGCAGCAGCTATTTCTGAACGTCAGGAGGGCCTTCTTGCTCCTTGCGGATCCGTCAAGAGCTCCTCAGCAGGAACTGACCAGCGCGCAGATGGTGGAGGGAACCCGTTCCCCCGAGCCGCTTCACAGGACGGGCGGAGATTAAACGTGCCCAGGCGGGCCATTGGCAGGTACTCATCAGTGCCGGCGTTTTCCGCAGCAGATCGTGTCAGGATCGACCGTTTCAAGGTAAGATCATTGGGTCGAGGGAGAAACAGTGACGTAGCTAGCTAACAAACTGTATAGAGGGGTGCCCGTGAAGAGCTGATGGTCTGTCGAGGTCAGGGGCCGTGTATGCACGCAGCTATGCATAGGAGGATGTGTGTCTGTGTCTGCGTAGGAGGGTCTACCCGAGTGTCTCAGCACGCAGGAGGCAATAAACAAGCAACGGAGACAAGCAGCAGAGGAGGAGCGCATACGCAGGGGCGGGGCGGGGCTGCCCTCTTCTGTTAGGCCATCTCCTCTCGACTGCACCACAGAGTTTGGGGAGGCTGTGGACTGGCGATCGCTGTTAGACGCCGCCGGCCTCGGAGACGTAGGCGAGGACGAAATAACGCTGGAGGCAGAAGAGCTGCATGCGAAGCTGCAGGAGTTCGCACCCAGGACAGGGCCGAGCTGGTGCCTTTCCCTGCTGGGTTGCTTGTGGCAGTGGCGGATGTAAATAAACGAAGTCCGCGGGAAACGGGGGCGTCTACCTCTGACGTGTGCTCCGGGATGTATGTGCATACACCACACAACACGCGTGTACGCACCTCGCCTCGTTGCTGCAACTCCCCAATCGTCAGAAGCTGAGTGGCTATTTCAGAACCACACCGCACGCGTCGAGGCAGCGCAGTGCGGCATCTGCGTAGTAGCTTAGACACAGTTGTTTTAATTTGGCCTGCTGCATGCTTGGTGCAAGAAGGCCCAAAATGTGACTGCAGCTGAGGGCAGCAGCAGTCGCAGCTCCGGCCAAATGCTGCGACGGTGCTNGCTGTTCTCTTTCGGAGCTGCATAGCGTATATTGTGGGGTTGCTCATTGACGTTTCGGCCTATGGGGAGGGGGAGGGGCGCCTATACCTAGATCTCTTTAGACTCCGCGTGACGCTTTCTGTCCTAAACAGTTTTAAATATGGATAATAGGCAGTAGAAACATAGCCCCAACGGTGGGCGAGGAGGAACAAGGGCAGGAGAAATGGGATGGTGGGGGAGGGATGGGGTGGAGTTGATGGTGGTGAGTGCGGAGGCAGCGGCACTATAGGGTCTTTGGATTGCTGCGCATCACTGCCCCAGGACGGCCTGAACGCCGCTCTCATCCATGGAGGGGCAAGTGGGGAGAAGCGGAGTTCTGGGTGGCTCGAGGGGCTGCAGGGACACGGGTAGGGGCCTTTGAAACTCTGCATAAGCCTTGTCGAAGCTCCAGAGGGCCTCCATAAGTGCGGGGCGACTGAGGGGCAGCAGGGGCCCCATGTGGGTGAGGCAGAGGCGCGCTTCCCACACTTGCCGCAACAGCTCAAAGAAGCTTGACAGCAATGCGCGCGCTGCACTCAGTTGCTGGCGCTTGACACAGTACACAACGATGTCCTCCTCATTAACGCGAGCCTCTGCAGTGAGGCCCGCTAGGTGCAGGTCAGCCCACACGTCTGCTGCTGCAGAAGTCTTGCTGCCAGCAGGCTGGCCGCTCCCCAGCAGCGCATCCTGGGCTTCGGCCTGCCGCACGGGGACACCATCAGACAGCGACACACAGCAGCACAGGCGGCCTTCAGTCAGACAAGCGCACTAGCGTAGTAGACTACAAGCTGATGCACGCACGGACAGATAGAGGAAGAGATGAAGAGATGGAGTTGCTGAGGCACATAGAAGGGCTGGGCAGAGGTCAACGGAGCAGCAGCGTGAGAAAGAGGGGTTGGCGAGTCAACGGATAAGCGAGCTGCTGNGTAGCCAGCTGGGGACTGCGCCTCTCCAGGGCCCTCTCAGCTGCAGCTCGAGCCGCTGCTTCCGCTATGGCGGCAGCAAACACGAGACTGCTTGCCTCGAGGAAGATGCTGCTGGATTCAACGGGCAGCAGGTCACGCGCCAAAGCGGCGATGCTGTTGCAGAAGGCCCTCAAGGCTCTGTAGGTGCACACGCGCTGTTTGGTAGCCGAAGGCTCCGGGAGCACGAGCTGCTGCTTGCTGCTCTTCAGCACTGCTTCCGCAGCAGCGACAGCAGACACTAGCGGCTGAAGAGCCACGACAGCGTGCGTTTCCCTCTCTTGCAGCCAGCGACGTTCAAATGCCTCCCAGCGAGCAACTAAGCAGCTCCGCTGCAACAAACCCCCACCAGCAGCAGCGCCAGCAGGTAATGTGGCAGGTGTTGCAGCAACAGTTGGAGACGGATCATCACAGCAGCACGAGAGCCACAAAATGCACGAACAGCATTGCAGCAGCAGTAGCATTATTTTCTCAACAAAGAAGATGTGCATGCTTTGCCTGTAATATGAAGGGAGGGAACTGCTTTAGTGCCTATTCTGTAAAGTGGGCAGGCACCTGACACAACTTGGCTTCCCAGGCGTGTCTAGAGATGGCTGTTACCCTTCTGGTGTCTGCGGCTGTATTGGTGTTGTTGAAGCCGAAGGAGGGATCTTTGGAGGAGCTACTTGTTGTGAGGCGTGGCTGCAGAACTATTGCACGTTTTATGCGGAGGTACTCCTTGATCATTTCGTTCCTCAGCGATTTGAGCTCGGGGCTAAAGGGGAAATGACGTCGAGGGAGCTCCTCTGACGGCGGCAGCTGCAGTGCTGCGACGAACACGGACAGCGGCAGCAGCCGGCCATCCGCGTAGAGGGAACTGAAGCGTTTGAATTCGCATCGCAAATCCCGCAGTGAACGCGCTGCTGCAGCAGCGTCTTCGTTGATACGCATCGGCAACGAGCGCGCCAGCTCATCGGCCGCTCGGGCGTACCGGGCNGATGGAGACGGAAGGACTTCACGGGCCAGTGCCGCTGCCACGTCGGGGGGCTCAGCAGCTGAGGCAACACGATCCAATATGCGCTGTGCGAAGGCTAGCTCACTGCGAGCCTGTAGCCTGTTCAGCACAGCTCTAGAGACCACTGGATCTGACATCGTCGTCACCGAGTCAACAAGACATCTCGGAATACGCCCAGAACCAAGGAGTATCAGGAAGGAGGTCACTTCGACGAGTCCTCAGCGCCAGAGGCTTCCCTCTTAGGGCAACAAAAGACCCCGGTTGTGCTCCGCCTCCAAACTTAATAGTAGAATAGATTCAGAGGCTTTACATTTCCCCCGTTTTGCAGTAGAGAGCGAATGGGTTGCTGCGAACAGGGAGCCCTGCGGGCTGTGCTCGCACCCCACTGCCTCACGCTCCTCCTTGGGGGGTTTGGGGTGGCCATGCAGATTCGTCAACAAGTAATTTTTAAATTCAGAATAAAAAGTTAAATTTATGTGGGAAGGAAAAGTCTTCTAGCAAGGGAGAGCTGGCCGCCAGGAGCAATAGTAAGCGGGCTCTGCGCGATTCGTGAGGCTCCTCAGGCCCTCCGTCCCGCTGGAGTAGCCGCAGCAACAGTGTTTCTCTTTGGCGAGAACTCTTTAAGTATAAAATATGAAACTATATCGACTGATCCGTGCTCGTCCTATTAGTTCGCTTCGCCGNGAGCACGGAGCAAAGCAGGTCACCCATGGCCGACGCTCCCATCTAGATTAATGAACTCTAGTTCTGCACTATTCGAAACAGTTGCAGATGCAGCCCCCTCTAGGAGCTCTTTCTTGTCTGTCTACTAGGGGGGCTACAATAGATCGGCGCCCTTCATCGGCCAGATACCCGTGAGGTGACTTCCTCCGAAAACGCGCCGCTGGCTGCCCCTGCTGCCGGAGAAGCTGCTGCTGCAGCTGCCAGTGTTTCTGCTGTTCCTGCTGCAGTTGTTGCTGCAGCTTCAGCTGGTACACCTCTCCCTGCAAGTGGTTCAACAACGAGAGAGCGTCTGGCGCACCAACGCCATTGAACTCCTTCGCGAGCGACGGAGCCGTTCTCGACGTGTTGTCACTGCTCCATACCCACTCTCCACGCTTCTGCTGCTGACGCAGCAAGATGGGGTGTTGGGCCGCCGCAGCCTCCTGCGCAGGGTCCACTGGTCCCTCAGTGGTCCAGTTGTTTGCTTCGGTCAGCATGTGAGGCACTGCGCCAGCTTCGCCGCATCTCCAGCTCATTTCCCCTCTTCCAGCCAGCTCTTCATACATGTGCCGATCCCCTGTGGTCTCTGCTTCCTCCCACTGTCTTGAGGCTCCAGGAGGCGCGACCCGGATCATCGCTGAGGGGCCCCAGGAATTCATTATGTGACTATACGTGGGCTGGCGGGGGTACAGCTCTTCGCAGTGGTCGGCGTCATGCGAAAATGAACCCGCATCCTGCATTCCCATGTGCTGTCCCTTGCGTCTGGCCGGGGGTAGGTAACGAACTTACTGGTGGCTCAAAGTCTCCCGCCTCGCGTGCATTTTCCTGCTGGAGAGCCTTGCTGTAAATCCAGGATGCAGGAGAGCAGGCAGGCTGCTGCCGTTTTAAGGAGCCTCCGCTGCAGGTGTGCCTGAAGTGTGTGCTGAGTCAAAGTTCAGTGTTAGGTTGCAGCAGACTCACGACACGACGGATCGGCTATACGCTCCGTCGGGTGACCCCGGGGCCTCTGACTCAAGGTGGTGCTGCAGCACCTGCGCTGTCGCCTTAGAGGCTTCAGCATAAGGAACACCGTGAGAAGGATCGGGCACATGCGGCTGCGACGACAGGCCAAATTCAGACTCAAAAGTTTCCTCTGCCTCGGAGGCTCCGGAGGCGCAAAACCCGGCAACGGGGGAAGAGGTGGAGGAGATCTGCTCGTGAGGAGTCACTTTAAGGCCAGAGAAGGCCACCTCGCTGCCTCTTGCGCTCGGACTCCGTCTGTGCTGGCGCTTCGTCGGTCCTCGGCTGCAGCGCGTTGAGCGTCTGCCGAAGAGGAACTGTCTGTAGGCTGAGGCAGGTAGAAAGACAATCAGATCAGGAAGAAGCCACCATGCGTCAGCTGTAAGGAAACGTGCCTTTTACTGCTTCCTTGGCGCGCTGCTCGTTCACTTTGGCTGTCCAAAATATAAGCTCAAACGGGTGCATAGGGAGCTAATTTTGCAACATTGGCGTACACTCAGGGAAACTTCTAGCCTCAACTTGGTCTTTAAAGCAGCTACTTCCAGACGGCTTGCGAACTGCATTGACAAACGCGGTCTTCTCATGACTTAAGGACGCTGGAAATAGTGACAGTCTTTTCCTCACTTGAATCGACAATGCCCTTCCGGGAGTGTTTTTGCCTTCCGCGCTGCGCAAAAAATTCTTTTTGGTATTTTGTTTCATAACCTAGCGCTGCAAATCGTTCATTACCATTTTGCTCTCTGATTGCGTTACCGTCTTGTGGGTCCGCTTGCGTGGGTCTGAATACGGGGTTAATATTACAATAGTTCCATGCTCTTGATATTGGCGTACTGTACAGGAAGTCGTCAAGAGTCTTTTGGGCATTGGCTTCTTTCGGCGAATGCTTCACGTGCAAACCATGAGCGCGCCGTGCAGGTCGGCGAGGAACGAAACGTGGAGCCTTTGCTGCACGGCACGGCGCCATTTTAGTAGAAGAACCATGCATTCACTTATTCATTTGAATTTTAAAGGTATAAACAAGAAGTTCGTCAGCTCATTCGAAAAAATGCCTCTAGCCTTCCGTGAAAGCCGTTGTGATCGGTTGCAGCAGTTTCAGGTGTACACAGAAGTTTCCGATGCGACGATCTGCAAAACAGACGCCCTTTGAAAATACACTGCTGTACGCCATGAATATTTCCGCGGTTTCTATTTTTACGAATAGAGACCGCGGAAATATTCATGGCATACAGCAATGTATTTGGCCCTACTCGGCATTGCCTTCGCTTGAACTGCAAACTTGTATTGGCTACACCTTTTATTGGCTAAGGGGATGGGCGGAGGACCAAACAAACAATTGCAGGGAATCATCTTGTTGTTTATTTCTGTGTTGGATTAATCATCTTTGGCTGCCTGATGGAAGGTTTTCATGCATGCAACTTTTTTTTCATATTCGTCATTCTGCCCAGACTAGGCAGCAGGTGAATTCGCATATCGCAACCACGGAGTTGGCGAGCAGAAGGGAAATTCACATGTTTCTCCTCTTGGAATTCAGGCTACATATCAGCAGCCGGGTGACAAGGCGGCAGATCCTCAAGAAGGCCCCAACGAGCATAAAGTGCACGTCCAGTCATTGGCTCGGGTGACGGCAGGAAACGACCCGTTCGGGTCTTTCATAGGGCAGGGCTTGTCTCAAATTAACGTGTTCATTTTTATTTTTGTTTGTTTGTTATGTAAATACTAGGGAAATACCAGAATCTGTGGTGGAAAGCTGCACAGGTCACCGTGTCGCCTGTCTGTCGGTTACCCCACGCCGGTGTGTGGCTGTGTTCAACTTTGGAGGCGGTGGCGCTACGCGTCTTTGCTTGATCTCCATTTGGGAGGAAAATTTTCCCCTTTATGATTTTTTTTTTNTTTTTTTTTTCCTCTGACAGAAGTTCAAGAGGAGTTTCCATTTCAAGCGTTTCCCCGCAACCCGTCGCCGCAGTTGCATTCCTTAAGCCCGACTATCTCAGGTGTCTAGCTACCTACAGCCCCTTTCCCAGCCAACCCAAGTCTTAGTAGTGTATTCCTTCACCTGCTATTATAAAACGGAATTCCGTTTGTCTTAAAGCCGCATTGCGTCATCGCTGTCCGGCTTCGCCGTCTCAGCGCGACAGAGTCACTCACCGCCAGGGACCACTGCGACGGCTTGCACGGTCGTGAGCATCTTCTCATGAAATACAGGAGACAACGAAAATATGATATGTTGTGGAGGCTAGATATCACAATTTTAACCCTGCAACCCCCTTCTTACCGCTCCCCGTGTGCATACTGCCTCCTCTCCCCATTGTCGGGTTCCCCACGGTGCTCACCGCGCTGGTTTTGCTGCATTATGTGTACAGAACTGAAGAGAGGCACTGCTGGGCCTAGTAAAAAGGCGGCAGAGGCGGCAAGGCTAACGACTGAGGGGTCAGCAAGGAGCTGGGCCACTGCAACGCACGTCCCTTTCCGCAGTGATCGTCGCCCGGCGTTCCTTAGGGGCGAAAACTCCTCTAAAACTGCATGGGGACAGAGAGTATAGGGGCAAGGTCTTTGCATGCCTTCTTTAAGACTGCGACTGTGACTGTGGTTGTTCATGCGCAGGCAGGCTACGGCTATGTGGCTATCACCATGAAGCTGCCCCCGATCTGGTGTCTCCCCTTGGGGTCCCAGCGGGACAGACGTGTGCTTTCGTATGTGCTGCTGTCCTTTGCTGCCTCTCTTCTGTGCGTAAATGTACTATTAACAACCGCAAGTAGCTATTCTCAACCCCCATCGCTGCCCGTCTCTTCCCCCGTTCCCCGCGTTTCCACTTCATCCGAGGCCTCTGCCTCGCAAAACCCCGAGCTCCAGGGGCCTCTGAATCCTTCTGGGTCTTTTTCAGAGACATCTAAGAAGCTTTTGAGCCTGAATGCCTGTCTGTCGGATGTCCAATGCTGGGGCCGAGGGCGGCGGTGCATTGAAGGACGTTGCTGGGGTTTTGCAGGCCCCAGGCGCGCTGCGTTTGAATGTGGGGTGGAGACCCCCTGCAGCGTGGGCCCCATAGACGGGCATTTTTACGGGGAAGGCGGTAGAGGCAATAGGGGCCTCTTCATGCTGCAGGCTATTCGCGGAGCCCCTTGGGAATGCGGCCAGTCAACGGCACTCCCCAAGCCACAGCAGACATCCTGCGGGGACAGAGACGCCGAAGCCTGTGAGTTGATCACGGCTGGTCACCAGGGCCAGACCAGTGGTCACGTGGCAGGCAAAGAAGGGGAAACGCTCATTTTGGGGACGGCCGTGCGGTGTATATACACCGCAGGAATCACCCCCCAGTCCAGCTGCACAGCCAGACTGGGATTTGTGCCTCGCGACCTCCCCGTCGGTCTCTACGCCCTATGCGGCTGCAGCAGCACCGACTTGGGGGCCAAAGGCAGACCCTGCAGCTCCGACGTAGACTTCTCAGTGCCCGTTGGGACCCTCAGAATAACGGGCTTTGAGGCCCCTGTTGCTGTTCCCGCAGCGGCCGCAGCGGCTGCTGCTCCTCCTGTTGCAACGGACTCCACTCATGACGCCGCCGTAGCAGCACCTGAAGCAGCAGCTGCTTCTGAGCCCGCAGGCACGGCGACGGCAACTCCACCGAAAGAGGCAGCAGCACCAGCAGACAGCGGAGCGAACCTAGTCCCAGGAAATGAGGAATCCGATGTCATTGACGACTCCGAGCCGCTACAGGCCATCCCCGCTCCTAAGGAGACAAAGCAGCAGCAGCAGCTGCTGCTGCTGCCCCGCTTCACCTGCACAACTGGCCTCCCCTGCGAGCTGCCAACCATCAAGGGTGTCGGCCTCGACTCAACTCAGCACTTTGTTAGGGCTTTCACTGGGGTGCATTCCAGCTGCCTTGAGGCTGCCAAGGCAGGTTCCACAACCTACTTCTGCTGCTGGTGTTGCTACTGCTGTTACTGCCGCTGCTGGTGCTGTGGTGGTGGCGCTGCCACTGGTTCTAGCGTCGCTGCTACTGTTGCTCGCGTTGCTGCTACTGGTGCTGAATTTGCTACTTCTGTTTCACGGGTGCAGTGCGTAGCCGTGAAGGGCTAAATCTGTTGTAGCACGTTGGGTGCCCCTGACTCTCAGGCCTCAACTCCATTACGTCTTCCTTGCAAATCCATCGGCGGCGGCAGCCGCTGTGTCGTCCGCTTCCGGCCTGAGGACATGAAAGCCTTGCTGCTCCCGACCGCAGAAACTGCAGCAGCAAAAACAGCAACAAGAGCAACAAGGGAACCAGGAGCCAAACGAGCAACAGAAGCAGCAGGAGCAGGTTTAGTGGATGAC